GCCCACATCTAATTACAGAAGATAACACACATCATACCAATCCTTATCGATGTGAACTGCTTTTACGAAGAACTATAAACATGTGCAAATGCATTTTTGGTTCTTTTTTGGGGGAAATGTGTACTTTCCTTAGAAAAACATAGGAAGTGCGAACAGTCTCCGTTTCAAAATCCGTTCAGGCTTCCACTTCAAAGTATACATTACAAAGTGACTGCACTTCCAGAAAATTTCTCTTCATATTTTTTATGAATATAAATTGCAATTATTTTAACATTATTCTAGTCGCTGAATTAGTTAGGCTCATCACAAATATTTTTAAAAATACATGAGTTCTTTTACAAAGGAGAGAAATTATTTCTCCAAGTGTCTCTTTCTCTGCGCTAGGACATTGCATCCCACTCAGTCCAAGTTGACCCTCTGGGGCAGGGTCAAGCAGCTCGCTTCCCTAACATTAAGAATATATATATTGATGGGTGCGTAAAATATGATGCACAATCAGACTACCCTCTGAGTTTGATATGAAATTCAGAAAAAAGCTCACAGCTGTAGCAAACATCAGCCGCAAAATTGTTTTTGGGTTGTTTTTTTTGTAATGCGCGTCAGAGTTACTAATATTATTAATTTTACTTCCTCATCCACGGCACTTACCGTCGGACAAAGCCAGCTCGCTCTATATTATTTAAAACAATGGCGGGCAAATCAATAGATGTTAAGGCTCATGCATCATCATTACGACGGATTTTATGTGAATGCCCCTGCACGAGTAGGAGAAAAGAGAGCTAGACGTCTCACCGAATTGAGACGAAGAACGTGACGTCACGGCCGTCGTGTCTGTGCGCATGTCCAAGCCCCCAGCTTGTCCAAAAAAGTCTGGACACGTAGACATTTTCCAATAATAGGTGCCCAGCACGATAAGTATTCTTTTTTAAAAACTTTTCTTGTTACTGTCACGATATTTGATCGCTATGTTTGTCATACAAGTTCTAACCGTTTTGTGAAGATTGGGAAAGCGTTAGGAACAACGTTCAACGTTCGTAAATGGTGACTGGTATCGAAATTGAATAGCTATTCTTTTATTGCAATCCTTACATTTGATTTTGAGTTCATATTGTGTTGTAGAGTTGTTCATCCTTAATAAAAATCTTAGAACCAACAATAGATTATTGAAAAGGGCAGCTTCCGTACTCTTCTCTAGTAACAAGATCTGATATTTTAAACCGTGTCGAAAATAAAAAGCAACGGGAGGAAAATTTGGCTAAAATTGAAAAACTAAAGAGATAGAATGCTTAACAAAAGAGATCATGAAGAAATGAGGTCGATTTTTTAAATAGTGAATGAATAACAATTTGAGCTGTGATTGTGTTTGTACAAGACAAATTTACTGTCCTTATGACGTAAGACCAGAAATTATTTCCCAGCAGTGCCAAAGGACTGCTTTACTAAGCCTTGTGGAGAAATAATAATACATTGTCAAAAATGATACGGAGAGGGGGTGGGGCAAAATTTCATGATAATAAAAGAGCAGAATTTAAGTAAAAATATGTGTGTGTGTGTGTGTGTGTGTGTGTGTGTGTGTGTGTGTGTGTAGCATGTAGTGTGTAATGAGTGTGTGTAGTGTGTGTGTGTGTGTGTGTGTGTAGTGTGAGTGTTGTGTAAAATCATGCTTTAGTCTTGGTGTCCACAGGGTCCGCTCATCACAGCCCTGCCCTCATCAGGAAATGTCTGGACAGAAACGTGCAGATCGCTTTTATCCACACTCTCCGCTCCGTTCAGCTTTAAATTTGGTACGTGAGGCGACAAAAAAAACCCTGCAAAATCTTTCTTTGTTGGTAGTACAAAAGGAAATATCTGTTCAATTATCGTCATAACTGGATTCATCCCATATTATGTCGTCACCTCACCAAACTAGTCTCTTACTCCGAAGATTCTCTGATAAAGAAAAATGCTAAGACTATCTATGGAGGCGAGCCTGTATATCGCTATTTACGGATGAAGAAAGCTACATTTGATTTTCTTCTGATCACGTGCGCCCCTTGCGTAACTGCTTGTTGTTTTTTTCTTGATCATCATCATCATCATCATCATCATCATCATCATCATCATCATCATCATCATCAGCATCATCAGCATCATCATCATCATTAGCAGCATCAGCATCAGCAGCAGCATCAGCAGCATCAGCAGCAGCAGCAGCATCAGCAGCATCAGCAGCATCATCAGCATCAGCAGCAGCATCAGCAGCATCAGCATCAGCAGCAGCAGCAGCAGCAGTAGTAGCAGCAGCAGTAACAGGAACAGTAGCAACAAAATCCTTGCCATCAGTCACCCTCTTTATCTTTAAAAACCCAATTAACAACAATAATTGAGGAATAAAACGATAGGCTAACAAGAACAGCATGACAATATACTGATTTCAGAGTGGTATGATTAGTCACACCGTAACAATAACACACCCGGTTCTCCTCACAACCAGTCCAGTGTTCGACATATTTGTGTCACAAATGAGGAGCGGTGAAGAGCAAAATTATTTGTTTATAGTGTTTGATGCTTTTAACATCATTTAACGATGTCTGGAGCGGAGCAGAGGACATGCGCTCTTGAAATCATGCTCAAAGATTCTGTGAGATTTTTCACCCTTGTCCGAGAAGGCTAAGTGTAGATCTTTCCTGCCAGAAGATCTGGGGTGTGGCTGAGAGACAGCAGTAAGAAGAAGCCAAGGAGTAGCAGTAGAAGGGCTGCAGAAAGAGTCAGGAGCCCAGAAGAGGGGGGGAAAGGGGTGAGGGGGATGGGGGCTGAAAGTGGAGACTAAAGCAGACGACAGAACATTACAAGGAAAGGAGGTGAAAGGAGACAATTTAGAGAAGAAAAATTTCCGTTGCTATCCTGGTTCGAACACGGGACCTATTGAATGAGAGGCGAACACCTTAACCTCTAAGCCACGAGAGCCCCCACGGTCGGTTTAATTCAGCACGGCTGCTTATTTTTGCGTTTCTAGTGGAGTTGACTCTCAGAACTATTTACACTGAGCAATAAAATGAGTTGATGGTGTGAATGAGAGAAACTTGTTTATTAGAAATAAAAACAACAGCGCGGGCAGCTTTAAGCACTGAAAGTGTCATTTGAATGTTAACCAATATTTTTTATCAGTACACTTTAGAAAAGGTAACTGTTGTAATGCGAATTTCTTTTTCTTTTAATAAATTGGGTAATCGTCTGTCTGGATGGTTCCTTCATATTTGTACTAAAGGACTTTGCTGTGTTAAGCAGTTTCTAGGTTTTTTGGCGGTCATTGAGTATATATAACGGTGCATATATATATA